GATGTATTTACGGCAGAATCGATTTGTTAACGTTCTAGTTGACCTGTTTACGTGCTGCTAACGTTCTAGTTGACTTGTTTACGTGCTGTTACGAATATTTACGAGCACTTACGATTGTTAGCCAACAAAATTACATCTGAAAATGAAGTGTTCAAACTTGCAGCTTTTATACCTTTCAACAAATCGTTAACAATTCGTAAGTATACGTATCTATTCGTAAAGTACTCGTAACTACACGTAGAGTGCTCGTAATAACACGTTACAATCCGCAAACCCAAGACGAAAATCCAATTGAACCCCCATTGAATGTCCCCATTGAATCCCAATTGAATACCAATTGGCAATTTGGAGTACATGGAAAGTGAAACAATGATTTGATTTGATTTGATTTGATGCATTTATTAGGTGGGCTGTATCTAATACAGACCACCTTATAATTTTGTTAAAATTGCCTTTATTATTATTATTATTATTTATTATTTATTTTTCTTATTTCGACCCACTTTTTTGTGTTCAAGATAATTTGAAAATGGCTCAATCAAATATCTTAAAATTTAACACACATATGTATAGGCATATTCACAAAACACAGCAAATTTTTCGACCTTGACCTTGACTGATGACGTCATCTAGGCGCCATTTTGTGAAAAATTTTGAAAATCAACTTATGATCATATCTTCATAACCAAAAGTAATATCTCATTCATATTTATCATGATCAAGGTCAATATCAGTCCGGTCAAATTCAGGTCAAAAAACGCGCGCGTGCGCGTACGTCCGCGCGTCATTACGCGCGCAAAAATTTTAAATGCTCGAAATTGTCTTAAATTTTTTTTGCATACGTTTCAGGTCATTTTAAGCATTTTATAAAAAAATCGCGCGCACGAGCATGCGCGCGCGTTTTCGCGCGTTACACCATTACACAACATAGAATCGCCATTTTTTTTTCTTTCATGATATTTCTCATATTTTTTCGAGGAATTTGATACCATGTTTATCTCTTTATGTCCATTAACAACAAGATGAGCGTCAATTCAAGAAAAATGCCCGTGCGCGCGAGCTCTTTTAATACATAGCATATATGGGCAAAAACATGCCTATACAAAATCCATTATAGCTCTTTGGAATGAACCGTGACCTTCAATTTTTTTCATATTTAGATAGAGTATGAGTCGAAGATATGATTCCATGTCTCATTTGGCCATTAAGTGTATCGTGACATCATCATAATGGCCTTGGATCTCAAAATAGGAATTTGCATATTATGAAGTCAGCATATTTATGTAAAATTGATTGTATCTCTGGAAATATTTATCGATTTTCTTCCAAATTTCGATATGATGTAGCTTAGACAATTTTCTACAAGCTTAGTCATCACCATTTTTCATTTTGATGACGTCATCATAGTGAAAATTACGATTAAAGGGCACATATCAGAAATGTCTTAAGTAGCGTGTTATGCCTATTGAAGGTGAATTTCGTACATCTTTAATCTACATGACATTGTTTTTTTTAGCAGTATCTCGCTTATTTTTGCTCTATTTTGTCTCAAAGTTCAGTTTGACCAGCCCACCTATACTTGTTCCAAACAAGTATTATATGTCTAGTTTCTGTTTGATTTTCTTTTTCTTTTGCATTTTTACAAATATATAACAAACAAATATTGCTAATTTACACATGACAAAAGAATATATGTAGAATAAAGTAAGGCTAGGTGTAACTAATCGAGAACATCAAACAGGAGGGTTGACAAAATAAGCAAAGCTTGATAGTATGACTACCCTCAAAGGATACATAATAATACAAATATGGAGGAACAAAATATTGGTAAAAGGGGGAAAAGACAGAAAAAAGAAGAGAAAAGAAAGAGGGGATGCACATCAATATTCACAGACTTATGTGGTAGTTGGATTTCAAATTGATATATAAAGATTTTAAAAAAGAAAAGAAAATGCAAATTTGAATACTGAGTGGCCAACTTGGGATACAATAGAATTTAAACTAACCGTAACAAATCGTTTTTGTTTTTTTTTACGAGTCATTTACGGATTCTTGCGAGCAGTTTACGGATGATTACGTGTTGTTGCGAGCGGGTTACGATACTTACGGATAGTGACAAGCTATTTACGAGCTATATTCACTGAATAACCAATCCGTGGACAATCGTAAGAAGTTTTTTGACATGTCAACAAATTTGCCTCTCCTTTCACGGATCCTTAAGAGTGTCTGCGAGTTGGTGACGAGTTATTTACGGATACCAGCGAGTTATTTATGGCTGCTTCCGATTAACTACGAGTTGGCGATCCGTAAGGACTCGTAAGAAAAATCCGTGCATGTGAAGGGGGTATAAGTCTGCCCTTCTTGCCCTTCTTCTCCCTCTCTCTCTCTCTCTCCCTCCTCGCTGTGTATCCGAGTGTGTCCCACTGAAGCAGAGTTGGGCTGGATCCGATCCAGCTTACGTAACTTGGAAAATGACTCTCGGCATTTTTCAACACTTTCC